AAAAAAAAAGTCAGACGAATTTGGCGACCAAAAAAAATAAGCACACAAACACACTGAACACAATATATGCACCTTGCACCACTTCATATCAAGTCCCTTCGCAGATGAGAAAGCAACACCTGAAAAAGAATAACGGTCAACAATGAGTGTGGTTCCACTCCTCAGCTTAGATTCCATCAGCGATCTGTGGTCAAAAAAAGATTATGGATTGGTAAAAGAAGAAATGGACAGAAAATAATTCATAGCAATTTGTCAAAGCATCTTAAAGGATGTTAAACCATTCAATACACAAGGGAAGAATAATCAATCATCTGTTGGCTAGACCATCAACATACTAAACAGGAACAGAAAAGAGAACAATCATTACTTCAGTACTTACTAATATTATATTTTTAGAAAAATAAAAGATGCAAGTTTTTTACCTTCTAAAAGAACCAACATCTTTATCCAGCTGAATCATGCCGGTTTAGCAGAAAAAGATTGCATGATTCCTGATGGGCTATGATACGTTCCACAACCCACATAGAAAATAATAAAAGAAGTTTATTTTGGACAATCTAAGTTATCATTCGAAATGGGTAGCTAGAAGAAACTTGCTAAGTTACAAGGTTTCCGATCTGTAAACATGATCAAACCGAATTCAAACATTGAGTAGTTGGGCCAACTAGGCTCAAATAACAGCTATATTAGTACATACTCCAACATTTCAAGGTCGATCACTAACAAGGCTAACAACATAATTGCATTACTCATGTACAAGATGAAATAGTCTCACCTTTGGCAGGAAAACAAAATGCTAGTTGATAAAGTATATTTATTAATCAGGGCCTGAAGTTAACAACTCAGAATCCATGTCTGCACAACAAATATTAGAAAAGATTAAGCAAGGTCAAAGAAAGTAAACACTGACCTCTTCTCCCAACGAATTGCACTGAAGAGAAGATGAATTGCACGATCATCTAAATTCGATTGGTTGGCTAGATAGGAAGAGATCATTTGCCCAACACCTGTATGTCTATCAGGATATCTCCACAGTTCAATGGAGTGCCCTAACTCTTTTAAGTATGAGTGCAACCTTCCACACTGGGAGGTCTTTCCACAACGATCTAGACCTTCTAGAACAATTAACGCACCCCTTGAGCCAATTTTTTCACTAGTTGCCATGTGAATTTGTCTAAAACAGCACTTGGGGTGGTATGGGAAAGTGCGATGAGAACTTGGAGATTGTCGTACAGTTACTGCAGCAAAATTTCTCAAAGACACGGCATGTATTGACCGACAATCAGTATCATTATAAACATTTGATATTTTAGGAAAAAGAGAGTACAAATTGACAAATAGAATCAAGTTATCAAACTCCACATAAGAAGAGGAAATGCAAAACCCATAAAAGTCCTAGGGCAAGGGATGAATTCAATTACTTCAAATTTCAAAATTGTAGTCTTATTATTCGGAAACTGAAGGATTCTCGACTTCTGATGGAAAAAAGTTAAATGACAAATGGATTGAAATTCGAACTTTGACCACAAACATTCCACCAAGGCATTTTATCAAATAACTTAACAGCACGCCTTTTACTATGGCAGGCAGCCCATTCTCCTCACAAAATCAACAAGTCAAGTGAAGATTAAATGAAGGCTATATATAGCAAATGAGTGTGAAATTGTACTTACAAAGTCTTAAAAACGGTGGCGCGGCAAGCATTTATCATGCCCTATCTTTGTAAACCCTATACATTATTTCTCAACTGCATAAAAAAATACCAACAAATTGCATATCAAGACGCTAATACCAGAACTGATAATTAGATAATGCATAAATCAACTAAAAACAGTGGTGGCTTTGTATTTAGGGTAGGAATATTCAAGGTAGGACGATGCTAAATTATGAAGCTATAGTTCCATAACTGTTTTGTGTATACTCACAGTCCAATAATGGTTGATGTCACGAGTATGGTGTCGGACGTAAAAAATTAGGACAACAAAAAGAAAAAATGTGAAAATGCTGGGCGCACCTGGCAGGACTAAGCTCTGAAATTTCCGCGTGTCGCGGGGAGCACTGGTCGCGGGTCTCCGGACGGTTGCAGGGTACGGGTGCTGGGCGCGGCTGAGCAATCCGAGGCTCTGAAATTTCCACTGGTCGCAGGGACGGTCGCGGGGCGCGGTTGGCTCGACGGCGGTGGTTAATGAGGCTCGACGGCGGAGTGGGCGGACGGGTTGCCGGCTGCGCGCGGCAGGAATGGAGGCGCAGCTCTAATGGCGAGCGGTTGGCTGCGGCTCAGGTTTTACGCGGTGGATTAGCGGCCAGATGCAGCACCGGAAGCTAGATGGTTGAGCGGCGGCGCCGGAGGCTAGATGGTTGAGCGGCGGCGCCGGAGGCTGGATAGTTGAGAGGCGCGTCTGGTGGAATTTGGGATTAATGCACCAAATCCTTGTAATATATTAAATCTGCGCGTTATACTCCTCTAATTTAAAAATTGCGTCACACCCTCTTTTATTAAGGTTTTGCGAGCGCACGCTCCCCACGTTCCATTTGAGTGTTAACCCCGTTAATATTTTTAGGAACTCCCCGTTATACCCTCTTTTATATTTTACTAGTCAAACTGAAAGTGAAATTTCATTCAAAAATATAATCTCTCTCTTCGATATTCAGAAACCCTAACTTCTTCACACATTCAAGATCGATCTTCAAAAAAAATTTTAGCCCCACACCCTAAATTTATATTAAAATGGAAGCCCCACTCCCTAAATTCATATTAAAATTGAAGCCCCACACCCTAAATTAAGAACGTTTGAGCATCTCTGAAATTCGACAATCTAGGGTTCTAACTTGCGGCGAATTTCGTTTCGAAGACATATAAGGTATTTTTCCAATCTGGTATATAGTGATAGTCGATTCATTCTTTATTTTATAGTCGATTTATATCGTTAATTTTGAAATTAGGGTTTTCAGTTTTAGTGAATTCGTGCTTCTGAGATGAAATTGGGGGACAACTTCATTTTTCGTTCTTCGTGCTTCTTTTTTCAGTTTTATCTAATTACTCAAATTAGGGATTTTATTTTCGAAATTAGGGCATTTTGATTTTGAAATTAGGGCATTTTGATTCTGATGATTAGGGTGATTTTAATTGTGTTTCTGACATGAAATTGGGTGTTTATCTATTTGAGATTTAAGATTAGGGTTATTTGTTTGTGTTTCTGATTTTGAAATTACAGTGATAATTAGGGCATTTTGATTTTGAAATCAGGCTTACTTATTTATGCTATTAGATTTTGCAATTAGGGATTTTATGTGATTTTGTGCTTCGGATTGAGAGTTTAGGGCTTTCATATTTTTAAATCAGGGCCTTTTTTGTTTTATGCAATTAGATTTGGGAATTAGGGATTTTTTTTTACTTTTTTGTGCTTCTGATTTACAAATTAGGGGTTCAGGTAATATATGTTTTTATAATGTTGTTTTTTATTTCATATTTTATGTTGTTTTCCCTGACAGCATATTGTTTATTTGCAGAAAATGACTTTTTTATTTGATGTTAGAGCTGGGGGAATGATAACATGGACGCCTTTTTTGCAATACTTTGGTGGCATAAAAGTTGCAATTGACAGCTACGATGTTGATAGGTTATACATGTTTGAAATCATGGATGTCTATAGGAGAGCAGGTGGCAAATCATCTGTAGTTGATGTTTATTCACACAAGCTTGGAAAGACTCTTCAAACAACAAAAAAGTTGATGAAGATTGATTCTGACAAAGATATCTTGAAGTTGGTGAAGAAATATACAGGGGAGACTGTTATACCACTTTACTTTGAAGATTTGCAAGGCCCTGTACAAGCAATGGATGTAGATGGCAATGTGATGTCTTCACAAGAAGAGCCCCCTCTTATTGAATATTCATTTACTGAGGAGGACATTCTTATAGACAGTTATGTAGATGAAGAAGGATCACCACAGCAAAGATCACCATTCTAAGATGATTTGCAATCAAATAAAGAAGCTGAAACACATAATGGTACTTCAGAGGTGGATCATACAGAAAAAGATGATGGTGTTGGTGGTGGTTCAGGTGCTGCTGAGGTGGATCCTACAGAAATACATGATGGTGCTGATGAGGTGGATTCTACACAAAGAGATGATGGTGCTGGTGAGGTGAATCTGACAAAAAGAGTTGATGGTGCTAGTGCTGCTGCTTGGGAAGACCCAATTTATGAGACAACCAGTATTGGTGCAAGAGGATGTTCACATGATGAAGGAGAATCCCAAACAGCTGGCCATGAAGAGGACTATCTTCATGAGGAGGCAGAACAAGAATTTGAAGATGAAGTGGCAGAACAACTTTTTGGAGATTTAGAGGATTCAGAGGATTCAGACTATGAACCTCATGAAGACAGTGGTGATGAGTCAGATTTATCTGAATGGGAATTGGAGGATTTAGAAGGCCATGATGATGATGATATATTTTAACAGAGAGAACATGATCATGCTAAGAAGGTACACAAGAGGGCAAGAGAGTGGCTGAAACAAAGAAGAAAGCAGAAAAAAAAAGCAAGAAAAGAAGCTAGTGCTGCAAAAAGGTCTACAGAAGAAGGTTGGTACAACCCCCCTGAGGATGATGACAAGTGCTTTAAAGAGCTTGATGAATGGATTGATGGTACTGACATGTCAAGGTTTGAGCTGAAGGTTGGTCCAAAATATCCACGCAGAGCAATATTCAAGGATGTCATTAGAGATTGGTCTGTTAGGAAGGGATATGATTTGAAGTTCCCAAAAAATGAAGCCAAGCTTATCACATCAAAATGTAAGAGTGGGTGTGACTGGTTCTTGAGGGCCTCAGTTATTGGAGTTCTGTCCACATTTCAAATCAAGACATTGAAAGGCACACACTCATGTGCTTACAGGACAGAAAACACATAGGCAGACTACAAGTATCTTGGAAAAAGAATGGTAGATACTTTGAGGGACAATCCTGGTGAGAGTCTGGGAAGTCTGAAAAACAAAATCAAGAGGCATTGTGGGGTTGAGGTCAGTCTGCACAAGGCATACAGGGCCAAGGTGTATGCTCTTTCATTGTTGAAGGTTGATTATGGTGAACAATACAAGAGGCTATATGACTACTGCTCCACAATGGCCAAGTACAATCCTGGTAGCTCTCTTATCCTCAAGTTGAACAATGATTTTTCACCTCCAAAGTTCATGAGGATGTATGTTTGCCTAACTGCAATGAGGCAGGCATTTTTAACTGGCTGTAGGCAATTATAGGGCTCGATGGATGCTTCTTGAAGACTCTTCATGGTGGTCAACTTCTTTCAGTAGTTGGTAGGGATGGAAATGACAATATGCTACCAATTGCAATGGCATATGTGGAAGTGAGAAGACTGATTCTTAGAGGTGGTTCCTTGAAAGGCTAATGAGGGATGTAGACCCTTACAAGGAAAAAATGGACTTTTGTTTCAGATAGACAAAAGGGTTTGCTTGAAGCTGTGAGTGAAATTGATGGGGCAAAGCACATATATTGCTTGAAGCACATGTACAACAATTTTAAGCAGAAGTGGGGAGATCTAGAATTGAGGAAATGGTTTTGGAAGGCAGTCATCACATGCAATGTCAAGGAGCATCTCAGGTGCATGAGTTAAATCCAAAAGCTTTATCCTAAGAAAGATAGCAAGGTACTTTTCTCCTTGCATAAAACTTTTGTATAATATGTCAATAATCTTGTTCATGTCAATAAACATGTTGCAATAATCTCTGTTCATGCTTTCTGAATAATCTCTGTTCATTACTTTATGTTCATGTTTTTTTTTCTTCTTGCAATAACTTGTTGTATAACATGTTAATAATGTTTATGGTATAATATGGCAATAATCTGTGTACATGTCAATAAACATGTTGCAATAGTTTTATGTTCATTTTTGAATAATCTATGTTCATTAAGTGTATAATCTGTTGCAATAATCTATGTTCATTTTTGAATAATCTCTGTTCAATAAGTGTATAAT